CTGCTGTGTTCCTTAATTCTTGTTTGTTTATGAACAGGTTATGGTGATATACATGCAGTCAACCTGAGGGAAATGATATTCGTTATGATTTATGTATCATTTGACATGGTTCTCGGTGCTTACTTGATCGGTAACATGACTGCGTTGATTGTAAAAGGGTCCAAGACGGTGAAATTCAGGGATAAAATGACAGATATAATGAAATACATGAACAGAAATAGACTTAGCAGGGACATCCGTGATCAGATCAAAGGTCACTTACGTTTACAGTATGAAAGTAGCTATACTGAAGCTTCTGTTCTACAGGACATCCCAATATCGATCCGTGCTAAGGTAAAGACTGATTTTCAATTTTACATAATTTAGTTTGCACGTAATAAACAGTGTGACAAGGGAACTAATTCGTATACAAAGCAATGATGTTAGAAAATGTTGAGGATTGTTGGTGGGGAGTCACGTTGACTAATTAAAGAAATGATCATGGATTTATAAGTAAGGAATACACCTCCATTGGTATGAGGTCTTTTAGGGAAACCAAAAGCAAAGTCACCATTTGTTCGATGGATCTAGAGAAAGGAGTCAAGCCTCAATTAAGGGGAGGCTGTTCGAGGGTTCCATAGACCTCAGGGGAGGCTCTATGGTATACTTTGTTCGAGGGGAGGATTGTTGGTGGGGAGTCCCACATCGGCTAATTAAGGAAATGATCATGGGTTTATAAGTAAGAAATACCGCTCCATTGATATGAGGCATTTTGGAGAAACCAAAAGGAAAGCCACGAGAGCTTATGCTTAAAGTGGACAATATCATATCATTGTAAAGATTCGTGATTCCTTGGCTTCTTTTCACTTTCTTCGCCATGTCTTTGCATAAACTAATGATTTGCATAAATGTGCTTGGATTGCTAGCATGACATTATTTCACTTTATGCAGATTTCCCAAACATTATACTTGCCTTGCATTCAGAATGTCGCTATCTTTAAAGGATGCTCTCCAGAGTTTATCAACCAAATAGTAAGCATTTTATTTTCTAGTTTGTTGCAGATGATTTCTTCTTTATTTTGGATTTTCATGTTATTTCTTTGGTTTGTCATGGTAGGTTATTAGACTGCATGAAGAGTTCTTTCTGCCTGGAGAAGTGATAATGGAACCAGGAAATGTGGTCGATCAACTTTATTTTGTCTCTCATGGTGTGCTGGTATGATTCCACTCACCATACTTTCTGTACTTGTCTTTGGAAGAAGCTGACGTTAAGGTTGGCAAGAACATGCTGAAATTCTCAATAAGTTGATCATATTTCTGCAGGAGGAAGTGGGCATAGCACAAGATGGTTCAGAAGAAACCATAGATTTACTAGAACCCAACAGCTCTTTTGGAGAGATTTCAATTCTTTGCAATATTCCTCAACCCTATACAGTTCGAGTGTGTGAATTATGTAGACTACTGCGCCTTGATAAGCAGTCCTTCACAAATATCCTTGACATATACTTCTACGACGGCAGGAAAATCTTGAACAACCTTCTTGAGGTAATTTTGATTATATGCTAAATTATTCTTCTAAGAGTTGCATTGCTCCCTTTTAAGGATTCCAAATCTGTAGGGAAGAGAAACGAGCCTCCGAATTAAGCAAATGGAATCAGATATCACATTTCATATTGGTAAGCAAGAAGCTGAACTTGCTCTGAAGGTGAACAGTGCCGCATATCATGGAGATCTGTACCAATTGAAAGGTCTGGTTCGAGCTGGAGCTGATCCAAACAAGACAGATTATGATGGAAGGTCGCCTTTGGTATGGATAGACATAGTTTACTTTATATTATATGTATACTTTTTTTTTCCTGGAGATGATATTGAACAACTTGGTTCATTTTCCACAGCATCTTGCAGCATCCAGAGGATTCGATGATATAGTAGTTTTCCTAATTCAGGAAGGAGTAAACATTGATCTTACAGGTTTGTTATAAACAGTAGAACACAAGTCTTTTGAGATTTCATCTTCTCTATAACTCAGTGATATTTGATGCGTCCTTTTCCCAGATAATTTTGGCAATACACCATTGATGGAAGCCATCAAGAATGGGAACGATCATGTTGCTGAGTTGCTTTCTAAAGAAGGTGCTTCATTGAAGGTTGAGAATGCTGGTAGCTTCCTCTGTGCAGCAGTATCAAGGGGTGATGCAGATCTTATTAAGAGATTATTGCTCTATGGCATTGACCCCAACACCAAAGATTACGATTTCAGAACTCCGCTACATATAGCTGCCTCTGCAGGGCTAACTTTGATGGCAAAGTTGCTTTTAGAATATGGGGGTAGTGTTTTCTCAAAGGACAGGTACCCAAATAGAACATATTACATTGTTTTTTGTTTTCCTATCGTCCGACCTTGAGTAATACTGTTACTATGGTATGAGACCTTTTAGAGAAACCAAAACTAAAACCATAAGAGCTTATGTTCAAAGAGGACAATATCATATACTATTGTGGAGATACTTGATTGATTTGTAACCATTGAGCTTGCTTGCACTGCCCTGGAAAAGCACTTCCATTATGTTGTTACTCTATAATATTTGTTTTTCTGCAGATGGGGAAACACCCCGCTTGATGAAGCCCGTATTTGTGGAAACAAGAATTTGGTTAAGCTCTTCGAAGAGGCAAAAGATTCTCAGTTATTAGAATCCTCTTATTCCTCTAAAAAATTCTCAGGTATTATCTTTTTTACCAAAGGAATTCTTAAAACATATGGGTCCATTTTGAATTTTGATTGATTCTCAATGAAAAAGCACGACTTTTTTTTTTTTTTTTTTTTTTTAA